TTGGGCTCCATTATGACGATCTAGGCGCAAAGTCTAAAGCTCATGGTGCAAAATAAAAATATGTATGTATATGATACTAATTAGATATCGATCTAAATATCCAAGAAACAAAACTATCCAAACACTTTTGTTACAATGTATGTGTGTTTATCAAATATACATAATAAACATTTATATAATTCACACATTTATCTTATGTCATAACAAAATTTTATTTTGGATGCGATTAATCTTTGCCCAGCATTACTGCTCCATTCACACAGGGTGTCAGTGTACTGCATTGTGGATCCGTCGGCCTTGCTTGCTGCAGAAGTTGGGAAATTCTCAACTGTTCAAGCGCCAATCAAAGCGTCAGCCAATCGGATTGCTTTACGCAAACACCCCAGCTCAGACAGTAGCAGGTTTTAAACTAATTCCATTGGCTGACGCTGCTATGACGATCGCGTAAGCCCCAACTTCAGACACGCCCTCGATCAAGTGTTGACGCTGAAGCCCCGTGTGAATGGACATTACCACAATATAAAACACTTTTCATAAGTGAACGATTACAGGTTACGCAAAAAATAAATAACCATCGCTAAATAAAATGCTAAACATTGTACTTTTAAGACTGCAACTTTCTCACAAAGCTGTTATTAACGTTTCCGTCAGCATCACTGTAATGGCATGCAATAATGTGCTCCTATAAATTATGACAAGGTATTATTATAAACGCTGTATAGTTTGTGTATTATTTTGTGAACTCAAAATCAATTAGCATGATATGAAGCGATAGGCTTTTTATTTTATCCACACAATATAAGTAGTCATACTGAACAGGGCCGGTTTGAGTTATTGTGTGAATAACTAAACATTTTCAGGGTTTTTTTTTTCTGCTTAATGACCAGATCTGAAGACGTTTACGCCTGAGCATCACACCACCCAGAACAATACACAATAAACACACACAATGAGCTCTGTGTGTCTGCTGTGGACCAATAACACTGAAAGATCCACAGAGACACTGACGGCCTGATACAGATGATGGTGCACATTTTTGAAAAAGAAAAAAATTATCTAAAAGAGGCAGAAATGCATTAAATTATTTACTAGTTATTATTAGTATTATTATTTATTATTATTATTATTATTATTATTATTATTATTATTATTGTATATTATTAATATTATTATTTATTATTATTATATGTTATTTTTATATATTATTATTATTACATTATTATTATTGTTATGGATTCTAAGCTGCCTTTGTGGTCTATCAAAAGTATAATGTATATTAAAATATTTTTAAAGAGATAGTTTTACTCACCATTTCCTCAACTTTAAACTATCCCTTTAAAATGAGCTTCTAGCTGTATTTTTGGAAAGCTTGTAGTACACTTAACATGCTAATTTTAAATCAACTTGTTACAAAAAAAATGCAACTAATCTATTAGAGAAAGCGTTAAAATAAAAAAAAGCAACAATGAAAGAATTACCCTTATTTTAAGCGTTTACATATTAGAGAAAAGATTAACAACAAGAATTATGTCAGTAAAATATTAACAGATGTGCATCTGTTTGAAACCGCAAGCTCAAAAATCAAAAATAAGTTGTACTGCAAGTTAACAGCAACTACAACAGTAAAGCTTGCTATAGACTGACATTGCAAAGTGGACCTAAACTATTTTAAGCCCCTTCAAACATTTAATGGCTTGAAACTGTTCAACAGACTGGCCAAAAAGAGTGTAGTTAACCAAGTTAAAACAAAGGGTTTGCTAAATAATTGCACAATGCCGCATTTTCAGATGGCTACTGTTCTTACATGTGGATTGATTGCCGACACATAATTGTACATATTAATTCTGATATAAATAAACCATGTTTATTTAATTTTTAATTTTCAATGGAAAAGCTATATTCCATATTTTAATTAGAGCATTTTATTAAATTTTTAAATTAGATATTTAATAACATTAAACTTAAATTAAGCCAAATATATTTTAATCAACTAAATCTAGAGAAGATTTAGTTGACTAAAAATTTACGAAATTTAGTCGACTAAAACTAAACTAAAACTAAAATGATTCAGAAGATTCAAATATGACTAAAGCTAAAATAGAATTGTAGTCAAAAGACTCAAATTACACTGTATTGGAGATGTGCACGTTACAATGTCGCTGCTGAAACGATATATTGTGCAGCCCGAAATAAAAGCATGAGTTTTGGGATAAAGATGTGACAGCCCTCCGACATGAGACAGACGGGACACCACCCTCATCCTCACAGAGAGATCAATAATATCCCTCTCTTCTCTAATCTAATGATGAACACACGAGTCTCACGTTTGTAACCTGATCATCAGAGATCAGCTGCATTACAGTCGCATACACACACACACACACTCATTCTCAGGAACAGATCGAGGCATAAAACAGAGAGTAAATTAAGGAAATCACCACAATTTTAGACGCTCGCCGACTGAGGGTAACCTTTCCTTAAACCTACCAAGAAAACGTGTGAGACTTATTTCACCACAAAAATCAAAAGAAGTCAATGATTAATGATAGATTTTGTGCTGTTAAACAGATTTTTCTCCTTTGAGCACAATTAATACTCATGAATTGGACATTTTTTGATAACTAAACACATTTAACACCATATATTTATAAATCTAATTAGCATTTAAAAGGCATATTATTTCTACACCACAAAAATATTATTAAATGAATAATAAATTATGAGATGGTTGAACAGATTTATACATTTCATTTTTAGCACAATTAATATTCATGAAGACATTTTTGACACGCTTATCCCCATAGTTATTTTTTAAATCTAGTTATTATTGATAATAGAAAAGAATAATGGCATATTATTTATACTGCAAAAATCTGAATTAATGAATGATAAATGATGCACTGGTTAAACATTTTCTTCTTCTTTTTAGCATAATTAATACTCATGATTTGGACGCATTTTTACATATAAGCACATTAATATATATATTCATATATATATTCATATATATATATATATATATATATATATATATATATATATATATATATATATATATATGAATATATATATGATAAATGATAAAAAAAGAAAAAGAGAGTTTTTGAATTTGTTGCAAAATTCTTAAAAAAAAAAACAAAAAAAAAACTGAAAATTCACATGTGCATCAGTATTCACAGCCTTTGCTCAATACTTTGTTGATGCACTTTTTGGCAGCAATTACAGCAAGTCTTATTGAATATGATGCCACAAGCTTGGCACACCTGTCTTTGGAATTTTTTGCCCATTCCTCTTTGCAGCACCTCTCAAGCTCTATCAGGTTGGATGGGAAGCGACGGTGTACAGTTCTCTCCAGAGATGTTCAATAAGATTTAGTCTGGGCTCTGGCTGGGCCACTCAAGTACATTCACCAAGTTGTTGTGAAGCCACTCCATTGATATTCTGGCTTTGTGCTTTGGGTCATTGTCCTGCTGGAAGATGAACCGTCGCCCCAGTCTGAGGTCAAGAGCACTCTGAAGCAGGTTTTCCTTCAGGATGTCTCTGTACATTGCTGCATTCATCTTTCCCTCTATCCTGACTAGTCTTCCAGTTCCTGCTGCTGAAAAACATCCCCACAGCATGATGCTGCCACCACAATGCTTCACTGTAGGGATGCTATTAGCCTGCTGATGAGCGGTGCCTGGTTTTCTCCCAACGTAACGCCTGGCATTCACTCCAAAGAGAGAATTTAGTTTCTTATGGTCTGAGAGTCCTTCAGATGCCTTTTGGCAAATTCCAGGCAATGGGTTATTGATCACCTCCCTAACTAAGGCCCTTCTCCTTTGATCACTTAGCTTAGGTGACCGGCCAGCTCTAGGAAGAGTCCTGGTGGTTAAATATCTTCCACTTACGCATGATGGAGGCTACTGTGCTCATTGGAACTTTCAGAGCAGCAGAAATGTTTCTGTATCCTTCCCCAGCCTTGTGCCTTGAGACAATCCTGCCTCAGAGGTCTACAGACAATTCCTTTGTCTTCGTGCTTGGTTTGTGCTTTGATATGCACTGCCAACCCTGGGACCTTATATAGACAGGTGTATGCCTTTTCAAATCATGTCCAATCAACTGAATTGACCACAGGTAAACTCCAATTCAGCTGCTAAAACATCTCAAGAATGATCAGTGGAAACAGAATGTACCTGAGCTCAATTTAGAGCTTCATGGCAAAGGCTGTGAATACTGATGTACATCTGATTTTTCAGCTTCTTTATTATTTATAAATTTGCAACAATTTCAAAAACTCTTTTTTCACATTGTCATTATGGGGTATTGTGTGCAGATGTTTGAGGAAATAAATGAATTTAATCTATTTTGGAAAAAAACTGTGACAAAAAAAATGTGGAAAAATTTAAACACTATGAATACTTTCTAGATTACAAACAATAAAAGACATAAACATATATAACTATAAATCATGCATGCCATCCTAGCTTAGGGATTGAACACATTGTAGTTGTAACTTCATGGTAGTGTAGTATTTGATAGATAGCTAAATAGGTTGATAGATACTTCATATTTTGCAAACTTTAATGAATTTAGATTCAACTCAAGTCAACACTACTTGATATTTTTTCTAAGAGTAACGTTACAAAGGTATTACATATCGCGGTTAATCGCATCCAAACTAAACGTTTGTTTTGACAATTTATTTACTGTGTGTACTGTGCATATTTATTATGGATATATAAATACACAAAACAATGTTTAAATTTATATATCAAATGTTTATATTTACATAGAAAGTTAATATGTGTGATACAAATTATATATACATGTACAAATATACATGTGACAAAGATGTTTGGGATGGTTTTGTTTCTATGTTTGTGTGTGTATCATATACATAATAAATAAATACAATACACGCACATATACATTAACGTTATGTCCAATCAAACTTTTATTTTGGATGTGATTAGCCTTAGCACAACACTGAAATGAAAGATAATAAACACATGTTTTACCTTCTCCACGTTTTCCACGGTGAAGTCTGCGGCTGTGTCCGAATCCATCTCCGTGTTTTTTATAACACACACCTCCTTTCGCTCTCTTGAACACAATGTCTTGTAGAAATCCTCTAGAATTATATAAATATGATGATAACGCTGAATGATATCACTGAGGTGAATCTGATTCGGCCGGGCGCGCGCGATCAGGCCGGTGCGCGCGATCTCATGTCTCTCATTCTCATATTTCACTCATGATTTAAAAAATAACCCTTCATATCTCAGATGACCGATGAAAATGATCATATGTCACAAAACTGTGTCCGCACGTTTCTGTCCGGTCCGCTCCCGGTGATCCGGTGTGCGCGCGTCCTCCCTCTACCCTTCTTTTCGGTATGACTGAACCGAATAAACGCTGCCCACATATCTGCCTGCATTAAAAAGGAGAGAGATTAAATAACAGTATTCATACATTTTTAAAAAAATGTACATATTTTTAAATTAAAATGTAGGCCTATTTATGTGTGTGAATGTTAAAAACGTGATTACTTTAATCATAAATGTGTTGTTGACTGTATTTATGCATGGTGGTTTAATCTAATTGATTGGTTGTCCCTTTGAAGAGCCTCAGATTTGATTTCCGATTGTTACTTTACGTTTTAAACCTTCAGAAGTGTGCTGATTTCATGTAAAATGCATCTCGTAGCACTTTAGCAAGTTCTTTATAATCAGGCTACATCCTTGTGATCCTAAATGGTCCTTAGCTTTGCATTATGGGAAATGTAGTTTTTAAGCACTAACGTTCATTTGCGATGTCACAGCGACTCTTTGTGGTACTTTGGACGTTTTGCAAGGATTTCGGTTTCTGAGAGTGTGCAATAGATGGAGTTCTCTTACAGTTATTATACATTTAGAGTCCATTTATTAAGCCTAAACAATACGTGTGTAAAATGTTTGGGTTGCTATTGAAATGTATTTTACTTTGTATTTTGAGACAATTCACGGAATTGCTAAGAAAAAAGTAATCAAATGTCTCACCTGTGTCCAAAGTCATTTATTCATTCATTAAGTTTGCCTATTTCATTAATTCATTAATTTTACTTCGGCTAAGTCCTTTTATTCATTAGCCCTTTTGCATCAGGCTTTTCACTCAGCGATGCAATGTCAGACTCAATGAACGCAATAGAGTGAGTGACGTCACTCTGACGGGTAGGGTTAGGGGTGGGGCTAGGTGAGCCCACTGAAAAGCATTGGATGCACCAGGTATGCATCCAGAACCCCTGGGAGCACCCGGAGGAAACCCATGCGAATGCAAGGAGAACATGCTAACTCCACACAGAAACGCCAATTGACCCAGCCGAGGCTTGAACCAGCAACCTTCTTGTTGTGAGGCGACAGCACTACCTACTGTTCCACTGCGTCACCTCAGGGGTTTATCTTTTGGGTTATTATAATAAAAAAAATTATGTTTTTTAGACAAAAGCAATTCAGAGTACTTGCAGAATCAAATATTTGAGAACTTAGTAGTGACCAAAATTGATTGGAAATTGGACAATATCAAAACACATGTCTCCTCTGCTTGTTTGCAGAAAGTACATGTCAATGTCCAAAAATTTAGAAACACTAGAATTTACTGCACTCTTAAAGACGTTGAGTTATTTATTTCACCCACTGGTTGAGTTTAAAATATTTGGTGCTTTGTTGGGTTATTTTTTAATCTTCAGTAATAACTCAACCAGCTGAGATAAATATTTGGTGCTTTGTTAGGTTATTTTTAACATTTATTTTGGTATTTATTTAATAACTCAACCAGTTGGGTTAAAATTTTGAATTTCAATAGTCAACTGATTTAACTGACACAGAACTATGGAGTCAGATAAGACTCTAAAGTAATTCACGCAAAAAACAAGATGTACATATGCGTAGAGGGCAGATTAAGGGTGCTTTCACACCTACACTTTTGTTTCGGAACGTATCTCGTTTGCCCAGTTAGCGCGGTTTGTTTGGCATATGTGAACAGGGCAATCGCGCTCTGTTCCGCGCCAAAGTAATCGCTCCGAGATCGCTTGAATGAGGTGGTCTCGGCACGATTGAAACGAACCCTGGAGCGGATTGATTGCAGTGAGAAAGCGATCCGATCCGAGCGCGGTTATATCACAGTGTTTTATGGATACTGTATGTTATAGGCATACGGCTATATGAAGAGAGAATTGTGAGTATGGCGGGAAGTTTCGCGAGTCTCCGGATGCCCGCAAACGAGGGATGATCTCCCGGTAATCTTGCGTCTCCCTCCCGGTCCTCAAATAGGCATCGTCGCGCACCCTTCTCACCCCTCCCCACCGCATCTCTCCTCAGACACATCGTGCGCACACCCTGTCAATCACCACCAATCCACCACCTCTCCTGACAGCTGAGCGGGACACTGCAAAATAAACCCTGACACTCTGACCAATGTAAGGAGAGTTTACTCGCACATGACTTGTTTTAGCTCTTTTGGTCCGATTAGAAACTTTGCAGTGTGAAAGCAAACCGCTCCAAGAGCAAAGAGCAACAATGTAACAATTGTAAAATCTGTTTCGGAACAACTGAATCGATTCACAGGTGTGAAAGCACCCTAAAATCATGAATGGCATTAAACATGTTTGAAATGATCTAAGATGCTCGATTTGTGTTGAAAAATATCCCAAAAACTATTAATGTTATATTTATATTCTACATATTAATAAAGCACAACAGCAGCCTGTTTACGTTCATTAGATATAATGTAAATTAGGTTTTTAAGTCAGTGAAAGTCAGGGAATTTAATAGTTCTTGCTTGAAGCCTGCGCATCTCTTTCTCCATTCGCCATGCTGGAGAGGAACAGACTGCGCTGAAGGAGCGCAGAGTGGTTGACATCGACTACAGCTCTCATCTGATTGGCTGAGAGGTACGAGTGCTTCTGCCAGAACAGTCTTAAAAATAAACACACACGTTGTAACGCGGGGAAGTGACACAAACAGCAGAAGTTTGGATCCACTTGCAGGTTTATTCGCCATCAGGCAAGCAATGGTCAATACAGGTGCAAACGGGTATATGTAGGCAATCCAGAATCATAATCAGTAACAGGCAAGAGGTCAAAAGGCAGGCGGCAGGCAGGAAGAACAAGAATACAAGGTTAGGTCGAAACACAGGAAAACTAGACAGGGAGAACGCGTTGTAATGTCATCAACAGATAAACAAGACTCGGCAAACTGAATGGGAGAGTGTGTGGCTTAAATAGTATGTGCAGTCAGTCTCTGACAATCCTCAGGTGGTGTGAATGTAATCAGTTTAGATGAGGAAGCATGTGTGTCTGTGACCGGAGTGCATGTATGAAAATGTAGTCCAGAAATGGCGGAGTTGTAGTCCATGGTTATTGAGAGTGAAATCCAGCTATCTTATGAAAGACGATTGCTGGTAATCGTAACACACGTATGCAGGGGGAGTCGTACGTGAAAGAGAATTTGCACATTCTCATTTAGGATAAAATCTCGCAAGTTTTAAACATTCAAAACTTTTTGTACACTCTTATACATTTGCAAATGGTGTTTTGCATTTGTGAAAAGTACTTTATGAAAATGTATTTTAATTTTGTGCATGTGAAATTTTTTCCGAATATAAATAAATATTTTACGCACGTGAATTTGGCTACGCTTGTGTACATCGTGTCTTTTGCGTGAATTACTTTAGAGTCTTATCTGACTCCATACTGAACAGCTGCATTAAAATGCGTGTTATGTTGTTTTGCGTTCTGAAGTTTATGTAAGCTATAACACAATAATATTGTTGTTATTTTTTTTATCAAATTACCTCTGAACCGTGTTTTTTATATCCGTTTCACCATCCAAGACCATCTTTTAGAAGTGTTTGGATGTGGTTAAAATATATTGTACATTGTGGACACTGAGTGAAGCCTGCTGCAGCGGCTCTGTTTCTTTATTGTTTGTGATTTAATTTAACAAGTGAATTTGAACAAGCATTTTCAATATTTTTTAAAACTGTATGTTATGTATTTACATAATCATAATTATAAAAATATTAGCAGTACTAGTAATAGTAGTAACAGTAATACCAGAATTGAAAAATAATATTCAATCAAAATAACCCAATGCATTGGGTTAACCCATAGTTAAGAAGGTGCTATAATAATAAAGTTGGGTTATATGTTGAGGTATTTTTAACCCAACTATTTTAACAAAGTAGATACATTTTATGTAACATTTTTAAATGTATTTCTTTTACCTTGTTGGAAATGCAATATGTCCAAGGTAAAAGCCAGATGTTCCAGTCTCTATCCTCAACCAAGAACCTCCAGTAAAACTTTCCTCTAGAAGAAACATCTTCAAATAGCCAAGGAGAATGGATATCCACTGAGCTCCTTGGGTTAAATCTACCGTGACTTTTAACTAGGTGAACTAAACCGTGTGATATTGTTTTAACCACTTTATCAAATTAACGTTTCGCAGTTTTTTTTTTTAATTTAATTTAATTTTTTTATCAAACAGTAAATTATTACAGCATAATGAAACATTATAGACTATACAAGGAACATAGAGGGTGGCAAGGGGATACAACTGCACATAAAAAATACAATAAGTTAAACAAGAAATACATATAAAGTAAAGCTTAAAATAAAAATACGATATTAAGAGTGTAAGTATTTCAAAATGAAGTACTGATATTACAGGGGAATACCTTAAAAAGTGGTTTATTATTAGAGATTTTGCATTTATGGATGTGATATTTAGCAAGTAAAAGTAAAAGATTTATGAAGTAGAACGCTTTCTCAGTACTATTGTGTGTATCAATAAAACCAAATAACACATTTTCCCAGAACAAAGAAAAATCTGAATATATTAACTTAATCACAAATTTGCAAAAGTTACCCCAATATATATATATTTACATATTTACATATATATATATATATATATATATATATATATATATATATATATATATATATATATATATATATATATATATATATATATATATATATATATAGTGTGTGTGTGTGTATATATATATATATATATATATATATATTTTTTTTGTGTGTGTTTTATATATAGATAGAGAGATAGAGAGAGAGAGA